GGCATGGCACAGCCCGGTATGGCACAGCACGGCACGGTATGGCACGGCACGGCCCGGCTCGGCACGGTACTGCATGGCCCGGCACAGCACTGCACGGCTCGGCACTGCACGGCATGGCACGACCCGGCATGGCACGGCACTGCACGGCATGGCAGGGCCCGGCATGGCATGGCTCGGCACGGCACTGCATGGCTCGGCACTGCACGGCATGGCACGGCCCGGCATGGCATGGCTCGGCACGGCACGGCACGGGCGGGGGAGGTGGCAGCAGCCCCGAGCTCCGCGGCACCGCTCCTGGAGCCCCCGGCGGAGAGTGGCACCGAGGGGACACGGGGGACCCCGGCATCCTGCCTGCCCTCCGCTCCTTACAGCATCCCACAGCCAGGCCCCAGCCCCGTAGCTGGCATCTCCCACCGCCGCCGTGCCCGGGATGCACCGCAGGGCACGGCCGGGGCCGTTCTCCATGTGCGCACACCAAGCTCGCTGCATCCTGCCTGCCTCATGCAGCAGCACGGGCATTTCACGGGCATTTCACGTTTTTGCTCGGGCTTTCTGCCCTGGGCAAAACAACCTGGCAGCGAGCAGCTTGTGCCAAGGGCATCCCACGGGAACCTGCTGCTGCTCGGATTGCAAAGGAGAGCAAAGGCTGAGCAAAGACTCTGGAACAGGTTGGACATGTAATTGCAGAGCCAGAGCCTGCTCCAGCCCAGGGCTGGCGCCTTACCCAGGGACAGAATTATGTTTGAAAATCCATTACTCAAACTTTGTCTGGGAAACACAAGACAAGCACAGGCCCCTTCCTTTCTGCATCTGGGGGCCACTTCAGACTTCCTGCACAGGGAGCACATACAAATGTGAATATCTGGGGTGGGCACAGACAAAAATTGCCCTCATTCAGCTCACCCGAGTCCTTAAAATGGCCAGGATCCCACCAGGATGGGGAAACAAGGATCCAAAGCAGCTTTAAACACAGCACACAAATATCTTTGCAGCACGTCTTGGTTTTTACGTGCTCTTACTTAACCAGCCTGATTTGCCCAGGGCTGTGGGCGACAAGAAATCTGCTGTGCACACAGCAGGGCTCCCAGACAGGTCAGCACTGCTCCCAATCCTCTCTGTGCTTGCAGGAGTTCTGGAATATCGTGCCATAAGCAAAATGCTCTGCCCCAAGCGCTGAGGCTTCTCTGCAGATGGTGGTGCCTGTGGTTTGAAAAGCCCCAACTCTCACTGTTGCAAAAACAGCAGAGCCAGAAACTTCCTAATACAGCAGCAGGATTTCCTGGGGTGGCGTGGTTACACCAAACAATGCTYGTGCATTTTCAGCAGGAGGAGGAAAAGCCCCCAAAATGGGACATCACCCCTGCATCAAGGCTGGCTTTGCTGGCAGATCTTCAGCACAGAAATATTGATCTCACCACATAAAGGCTATTTGTAAATGGTCTTTTCCAAGTGCTTTTTATTGAGGGGAGAAGTGCTGGGGGGCATTCAGAGATCTGAGAGAACAAGGCCCACTCACATGGCACCAACTGTCACAGCAGAGGCAGGAATGGAGGCCCAGCTATTTTTGCATTGAACGAAGGGAGAATGAAATCTGTTACAAACACACCCTTACAGAAAAAAAGCCTCGTCTTTCCTCTGACAAATCCCTGGAATCACAGCCTGCCTGTGGATGCCACAAGTGTGRATGCACCCTGTAAATTAACCCAGCTTTAATTGCACAATTCACTGGCTGCAGCACAGCACACTCAGGGGCAAACAGACAGCAAAGCCAAGCGAAGATAAAASCAGATATCCCGATTTCAGCTGCTGGCAGAGCTCTGCTGAACCAAGCACTGTGAGAGGCTGGCAGAAAAGATTTCTCTACACTCATCCAGCAGCAGACCCAGCAGGAAGTGTGGAAACACCAYGGACTGACACTCCTGGGCAGGTTATCAGGGCAGGAATCACCCTGTGTGAGCAAAGACAACACTTCACGTGTGTGTGCATTTCTGGGAGTGCTCCTAAAGCACCGTTAATGAAATGTTCAGCCACAGCCCTTTGCACAGGAACAGCAGAAACCTTGCAATGTGCACTCCCAGGTGGTTGGGGTTGGAAGGAGCTGCAGTTTGGGGCAGGGAAAAAGGCAAGAGAAGTCACTGCAATTCTTTTGTTTTATTAGCAAATGGACAGTATCTGGACATGGAAAGGARATCAGCCCTTGCCAACATCAACTCAAATGTCGTTGTCAGTTCCTTGCACTGCTCCCACACATCTCTGTCTTTCATACAGCCAGAACCTTTGGGTAAACAAAGAGCACAGAAACACACAAAAACCACAATATATACACATTTTCCCCCCACCTCAATGGACTTAGATTTTTGGAGATTAGCAATGCTTTGTTCATTGACTTTGCAAATAATATCAAAACATCTCGAGTTTTAAAATAAAAAAATACTACAATATTCACAATATAAAACTTAAATATTTTTTTTTTTAATTAAGGGACTGCTAAGAGCTATTGAGTGATCACAGCTCTCCCAACAGAAGCTCTGCTGCTGAAGCACTGAGAAGGTTCACAAAGCAACATTCACTCCATTCTGCACTGCTCCTGGTCAGAGTTCAGACCTTGCCATGCTCATGACAATGCCACTGGAGACTTGTCCAGGTGTGGAAATGATGAAAATGTACATGACACTTCCTCTCCTCTGTTATTCCCTCCCTCCTGAAGGATTCTTGTGTTTTATTGGATAAAGGGACTGCAGGGGAGCAGCTCATGGCTCAGTCCTCTCCCTGCAAGAATTACACAAAACAGGACAGAAAAGGCAGAAAKAACCTACAAAAGGAGAAATTCAACCCACCCTTCCACAATCTCATCTAGAAGACATCATTAAGTGTGCTTGAAAGGCAAGAGAATAATTTCCCTGGAAAATCTGGATTCTGTGATGGAATCCAGGTTTGCTTATTTAATTTTCACCTTTCAAGGGAAGCAGAAACTGGAACAAAGAACAGCTACAGGATTTATCTCTTTGGTAACATCTGTGGAAGAGTCTCTCAGCACTGGGTCCATTTCTCAGGAATCATAAAAGCCTGATGGGATCCTGTGGAAGTTTTGTAGGTTTGACTGGAAGAAGAGCTTGCCCCAAATCAAATAGGGTCTCTGTAAGGGTGGGAAAGAACTGGATCCCTCTGATTCCTGCTGCAGGGACACAACAATGTCTCAGTGCAAGCAGCCCCCAGACAGACAAACTGAATCAATATAATCTCTCAGTACAGACAGAAGGTCTGGAGTGCATTTTGGGATATTTCCTTAAGGCAGAAGTGGATGAGCACTGGCTGAGGAGACAGGCAGAGTTAACAAACAATGCCAAGCAGACTGAATGGCTGTAACAGCTTTTCACAGTCCAGAGGGCTCCACGGGTGAGTTTAAGGAGGATTTGGATCCATCACTCCTGGTGACACCCAGCTGCAGCCTTTCCACGACAGAAAAAYATTGTGTAAAATGCCTGTGCTCCTGTTTGGTTCCTTACAACTCAAGTACCACTTTCAGACTGGTTTCCAGCTCTCCCCTGCTACTGCAAGACTCAGCTAAGAGGCAGCCCCACTGTTCCTTCCAGCTGAGGATGTGGCTTCCTCACTTTTGAGGCAGAACAGCAAGATTTGTAGTGCCACTTTTCATGTTTTACCTCTTCTCTGGAGAAACAGCGTACCCTGGCGAGCTGCTCAGCAAAACAATGAGTAGGAAATTCTGTTTATCTCTGAAACTTCCAAAAACATGATAACAATACAAGAGCACTGAACGAGAGGTTTGTTCACGAGCTAAAGCTCCCAGGAAAACAGAGTTTCAGGGCTGAAATGTCCAGCACCTCCCTCAGATACTACTGCAGAGTGGCAAAAAGCCACACTCCAGAAAGGATCCACTGCAGACTCACACCACGGCTGTCACCAAAAAAAGTTTGCCTGGAACAGGTTAGAAATGTGCAGATTGCTTAAATTTCTGGGTTGACAACCCACTACCTGCACACAGCCTCCCCAGGGGAACGACTGTCCATGTTAAAGGCTGTGATAACCTCAAAGTCCACCACAAAAGGGTTTTTCAGCTGAAGCCTGCAAAGGAATGGGAGAAGAATAAATTTTCTTCCAAACCAGGGATGGCTTCCACTCTTAAGTAAAGCATTTTTGGAAGTGGATTTGTCAGGTTATGGATCCGATTCCAGAACGTAAAAAGGAAGGAATGAACAAATCAGTAAGAAACAACCTGAACACCAAACATTCCTGGTTTTGGGGCTTTATCTGCTCTTCTATCATTTGACTGCCTGCTGCTCTGCAAAGGGTTAAATTTTATCTTCCTCAGCGACTGCATCCTTTCAGCTGAGATAAATGAACTCCCAGGCMATAGGGCCAGTGGGAAATACATATGTGCTGTGACAACAACATGYCTCCAACCAGGAGGACAGCTCGAGGTCAGCTTTCACCTCCTCAGCCTTCTGCTCCTCTCGCTTTCTTCTTGTCACTGCTGCTAAAATTGGTTCAAGGGCACTTGAGATTTTGTAGCAGAGAAGATTTTTCTCCTTGTGTCAAAACCCAAAAGGTTCAATATTTACTAGGACCACACGAAAGTCGGATCTGAATRTGAATTGGGATTGGTGTAATGTGAGGATCTCTGCTGGAGAGCTGAGAAAACAGAACAGTCCAGATTTCCTGCTCAAGGGTACAGCTCCATTTTGCCAGCAGCTGCAACAAAGAGCACACAGTTTATCATGCTTGAAAGCTGCACAAATACCCACCAGGGARGAGAAATTACTCTCCTCTAGAATATACATTTTGGTTGGAGATTAAGAGATGCGAGGACAGTTTTCTGGCTCCATCACAAATCACCACTCCTTGTTTTACCTTTGGGAACAAGGAGGCAAGCTGCAATTTTACCTGGAGAAGGAATATTAACATTAATCTGACCTAACAACTGAATTCTTTTTAAAACCCTCATCTCTATTCAGCTTTAGTATGACAGAGATTCTGTGAATTCCAGGTGGTTTTCCTGAAGGAATGTAAGAAAAGCTGCCTTTAAATGTCATCTCAAGTGATCATCTTCACCCMATCCGAGGGCTCTGGGGACAAGGGAAGACATCCAAACCAGGTGACAATARTACTCATCTCTCTGGACTTTTCCCAGTGCTTGGCACAGGAAAAGCCTCACCRCATCCCTGTGAGGTAGGTCAGTGTTATTATTATAGTCCCTTAATCCAGCTGTGGAAAGTGAGGCAGAGAAGTTCCTTTCCCAAAGGCCACTGCAGGAGTCTCCCTCAGAGAGAGAACAAGCAGAGAATTTCCCTTTCCCTACTGCACCTCCCCTCTTCCCCATCCACACCTTCACGGGGAAACAAGCAGAGAAAGAGGCTGCAGTGCCACAGAATTCTGACAGAGAGCAGGACCTACGACTACTCCACGGATCCCAAGGAGGAGCATCAAACACACGAGAACCTCAGAACGGCGGCACCATCCCGCCACACAAACCCGGCTCAATAAMTAACAAAAATAACAAAACACACACAGCTGGCACAGCTGGCACCGTCCCCAGCTCAGGAAGCTCCCGGGTGGGGCCACATCACTCGTGTGACTCCACGGCCACCCCGACCAGCGCGTGTCGGATGGTGCGGCCGTGCAGTTTGTAGCCGTCCTGCGTCACCAACGCCACCGTGCCCGGCGGCACRCCCTCGGCTGGCACGTGGCAGATGATCTCGTGCTCGTAGGGGTCGTACCTGCCRCCCACGGGGTTCATCTTCTGCAGGCCGTGCTTGGCGAACACGCTCTGCAGCTTGGCCTCGAKCAGGGACAGGCCCTCGTAGATTTTTTTCAGCGCCGGGTTGGGGTCGCTGGGCTCCGCCTCGCCCGCTGCGCTCTCGGCTGTTTTCTCCAGGATGTCTGCTACCTCCACCAGGTCCCTGCAGAAACTCTGGATCCCTGCAGGAAGGACACGAAGGACAGGCTACAGAACATCCAGAGCTCCAGCACCAAGGACAGACACAAAGTCACAGCAGTTTGAAAGCATCTTTAAAGCTGCTCATTGATTTAAACTTAATTTAGAGATTAGGGCAGTGTCTTCTGATTTCTGTAACCAAAATTTCAGCATTGAGGGTAATCTAAAGACTCCCCATACCAAGGTATATGCAGGAAATGCACATCTGTGCCATGAACACACATTTATCTGTTCTTCCTGATGAAGCAGAGCATGAATGCTCACTCCAAACAGTTTATTGCAACTCAGGTCTGTCATTTAGGACTCTGCTCCACATCCTCCCGACACAATTTTGTCACACAAATGCCCATTCCRCAGGGAACAAACACAATGGGGGAAGCAAAAACAATGCATGGCTATTCAAAAGTACAAAATCCCCCTTTATTCATAGCTTAAAACCACTGTAGAGAGGCTGGACCAAAATGGTCCCTGGGTTGGTCATGAGAAACCAGGCAGGTTTTGTCATTAGAAAAAGGGGGTTAGACTGGCTGCATTTCCAGAAGTGGCTCCTTGCACAGCGCAGAAATTCCAGGAAAAGCAGCCTCCCTCAGTTACATAAATGTCATAACTCCCTGACTGGAATGACACATCGGGGAAACAGAAAATGAAGCAACAGTCAGGCGCTGTCTCCAGCTGTACATGTGAACAGGCACAGAACAAAGGCAGAGGAAGGAGGTGCAACAAAGGAGCAGACAGGAGCCCAGCAATTGCCACTCATTTCATAGAATCAGAGTCATTTAGGATGCTCAAGAGTTTTAAGATCAGCRCTGCCAAGGCCACCACTAAATCATGTCACTGAGTCTTTTAAACACCTGCAGGGATGGTGACCCCACCTCTCCCYTGGGCAGCCCATGCCAGTGCTTGGCACCACCCTCAGTGAAGAAATTCTCCTGAAATCCAATCTAAACCTCCCCTGGCACAACCTTCCTCTTGTCTAACCCTTCATTAATGGGGAAAAGAGACCAACCCCACTTTGCGACAGCTTCCTTTYGGATTTTTCTCTTATCTACTCCAAGTCTCACTCTGTGAGCCATTTCTAACAAAGAACTTATTTTTATTTCACATGTTTATTTCATGTTATATATTAAATCCCAGGAGCYCAAAAAACCCTCTCAAAATCAATCACCCTGTTGCTGATCATCCCCAAACTCAGCAGCAATTTTACAGCACCACGGGTRGAAGGTAAGAAAACACAGCAGCTCTAATTTCAAGGCTGCTATAATTCTAACAATAAACCTCCTGAGATTGATGCATTATGGAGGAAAACAGTTTTTCATTCTCAGAGATGGTTCTGGCACGCTGCAATGCCTGAACAGCAGTTTCTTCCCCCTTCACCTGCTTCTGCTGCCAAAGCTACAAATCCAGCTCGTTTCACTGATACTAAAATATTTCTTTTAGAAGTTTTAAACATCTAATCTAGAGATTGACAACCAGATTGCCCCAGGCAGCATCTACCTCCCGTAAACTAGAGCAGAAGAGGCTGTTCATAGAGAAAAGGAGATCACAAMCTGATGGCACAGCTGAGGATAAAATATACCCTGCCAGAGCCAATCCTCAGCACACAGGGTTTTCAACCAAGTCAGCAGAACTAAATTCAGCTGCACTGGGACTATTAAAAAAAAAAAAGTCCAATTCTGTGATTCTGTGGGTAAACCTGATAAGACAAGACACAGCTGGACATAGAGAAAAAAATAGTGATTAAGTCCCRATATCAAGAGTCCAGGCCAAACATCACATCAGGCTTTWYAATGAACGAGGGAGGGCAGGACAGKGGGACAGAAAAGCTGTTGATCAGCATTTTCTGCTCAGGCAGGCAGAGCAGTGCAGCAAACACAGCCCTTTTGCTTACCAAAGAGTTTGGCATCTTCCACAAACTTCTGTGTTCTCCTCCGGACGTTCTCGGAATCTGCCAGAGCTTTCCGGTATCGCTCCTGTAACCACAGTGGGGACACATCAAACTGGGAGGTAAAACCCCATTCCTCACCTTGGGAAATGCTTTAAAAAGAGGAGGATGTGCTGGGCTCCTCCATTTTCATACACACAGTGTAATTCTATGAATTACCAAAAACTGCAACTCCCTCAGAAGAGCYGAGGGAGGCCAGGAACATTCTGGGCACCGAATGACTGAATTCAGCTGAGCAGCAATGTCAGGCTGCTGCTGAGATCCTCCTTCCACAGCAGGCAGCACAGTGAGCAGCTGATTTATCACTCAGAGAATGCAGAGTTCTCAGAGTGATTATCTCCACAACAGCTCAATGCTGTGGTATCTAATCCCCTCCTCAGTCACGTGTGCTCTTCAATATAGAACATGATTTCCACCACATGCTGCCACTTACTTTCCTTCTGGGATAATCGGGATCCAGTGTGACACAGAGATATTAAAGAGTGTCCAAAGGAGGGGTGTGAAGATGGGGAAAAGCCTGGAGGGGCCATGGAGGAGCAGCTGAGGGCACWGGGATTGTTCAGCTGGAGGAGGCTGAGGGGAGACTCAGTGGGGCTGCAGCTCCTCCCGAGCCAGGAACGGCCGGAGCTGGGCCAGGGAGGGTCAGGCTGGAGAGCAGGGAAAGGTGCTGGGCACCTCAGAGGGTGCTGGCACTGCCCAGGCTCCCCAGGGAATGGTCCCGGCCCCGAGGCTGCCAGGGATGCACAGGGGGGATTGTTGGGGGGTCTGGGCAGGGACAGGAGCTGGGCTGGGTGATCCTGCGAGAATTCAGGATATTCCAGGATTCTGTGCCAATATGTGATGCGTTCACTGCCACGAGGCTGTGGAAGGAGTGCCCATCCCAAAACACGGCTCTTCCTGCCAGGATCACACCACCAGCGCCCTGCTGCTGCCTCTGCTGACAGATGGTGCTTTTGGGGTGCAATTTCCCCCTCTCACACTCAGGGCACAGCTTTCACTGATGATCAAACATTTCTTTTAGCATTCACAGAAAAAATCCAGGAAAGACAGAGCAAGCCAAGGGGACTGAAGCAAAGGCACCCTGATGCCAGCAGCACACTCACAGTTAAATCTCGGACTTGCTCTTCCAATTTGGTRGCTTTGTGCTCCAAGGCACAGTCAGGGAGGGGGGGTTTGGGATCCTCACTGGGATCTTCGGGGCCACACTCATCTCCTGTGCTTCTCTGCTGAGCTGCAGTGCTGAAAGCACAGGGGGATCCTCTGRAAGACAARCTRGAGACAAAGAAACAAAGTTAAGGRAYATCAGGGTCAAGGAGAGTTCTAGATCAGTGTCATGACTAAAAGCAGGCTCTCTGAGAAAGGTACACAGGATTCTAGCCATAATTTTAGCTCGTTTCAGAAAACACAGACAATCAGCACAGAAACACAATGAGGTGATTTAAAACTCTTTATTTTAGACTAACATGGCACMCAGAGGCTGTACACCACTTCTCTGGCCTTGAAAAGAGCCAGATTTTCACAGAAACACAGAATAACTGAGGTTGGAAAAGACCCTCAACCCATGAACCTTTGACTGATCTCCACTTTGTCAACTACACCAGAACATCAAGTGCCAYGTTCAGTTGTTTCTCAAACAYCTCCAGGCAYGGTGACTCCACCACCTTCCTGGYCTTTTCCAACCTCAATTTCCATTCAGAAAACATTTCCATACACACCTATCAAGGAAGGGTATCTCCTTTTTTGAGAACACCTGGGCCCTTCCTCTGAGCAAAGCTTCCAACATCCCCTTTGTGCAATATTTTACACCCCATCCATGCAATATTTTCCATACATTCGGTGCACATCTACCCAGAGAAAGGCCAGAAATGCCTGTGCTGGCAGCAGCTCCACCCCTGTGTTTATACAGCACAGTTCCACTGCACAGAGACAGTAATTCAGACCCCACAGTCGATCCAGAGAGGTCACATTACCAGGCCTGCACCATTCTTCCTCTTTAGCAATGCTGYGTTGCTCAGGTTCAATGTTTCAGAAAAGCACAGAATTTGGTTTGGGATCTATCACAGCTCCTTAGTGCTTTTCAGCAGTTTTCCCCCCTTTATTCCACTACTGGAGCTGAGCAGAATTCAATTTCAAGGAGTTAAACCAGCTGAAAAATGACCCTATAAAACAAGAAGGCTTTTCTCTCTGTGTCCCTGAACAGGTTTGCTGCCAGATCAGATCAGTGCAAGTGCCAGCACCAAAGGGAAGCCAAACATGGGAGGTGTGGGCAGGGAGGAGGCATCCCTGAGGTGGCTCAGATTGGTTCAAAAGCCCAGCTCAAGAGATCTGGATCTGCCCAAAACCACCAGGCATCTGCTCCCACCCCATCTTTAGCTGCCCAGATGTTCTCTCATTTAAATCCTTAATGCCAGGTTMATGTCCCACAGCACTAATGACAAACTTCCTTTCCCCACCTGAGCACATTTGCATGTGCAGTTTTTATTAAGTGGGAACTTAAAACATCATCTGGGTGTCAAACCACTCCTTTTCAACAAATTATGTGCCAGATACAAATCYGAAAGTGCTTTTTCTACTGACATTTGCTCTAGAATAGGACCTTCCTCAGACCAATCTTTAAAGGACCATCTGGGTTCTAGGAATGACAACACAGGGAAAAAAAACCCCACATTTCACCCCTGGCTGCTCTTTGGGGCTCAAAACCCCATCTTGAATGATTTTTAAGATTCCTATCACATTCATTTTATTTAATAGCAGCAGTCTGTCAAAGTTAGAGAAAGTAAACTAAACTGGAGGGAGGACAAAGCAGGACCCCTTCACCAAACCTTCAAAAATCAATCTGTGAGGCTTTCTTTGCACAYAAAAGTGCCCATGGCAAGCACCAGCTACAAGCTTTATCCTTTACCATCTCCCATTTCATTTCAAAGAGCTGCAGGGATGGAAATCAGCCACGCTACGGAGGAACCAAAGAACCTGAAACGCAGCTGAGAGATCTTGCTGGGCCCCTCAGAGATCAAACTCCTTGTTTTAAAAATAGGCTTTGCAGCTCAGTTAACTCCTCTGCACCCAGGAAGCCAAACTTGGTGAGATATTTCCCTGTGGTTCCAGTGCAGGGATGGGTGTGTTTGGCGTGGGAGAGGGGCAGGGATCCAGCTTTGAGGAGCTGCCTACGTGGAGCAGGGAGCTGCCTGCATGGACTCCTTGATCCCAAATCCCAGAGCGCTTCCCCCGTGCAGGGACATGTTCTGGATATCACGTGCTGCCTGGAAAAATCRTGGGCAAGAAACCACAGCCTTGACTCCAAAGGGAATTAAGGGAATTCTCCAGCTCTGTTACACAGAATCGAAAACGCCGCCGCTCGATTTGCTCCTTCCTGCAGGATGAAAGGAATCCTCCCCCAGCAAGTGGCAGGAGCTATTTAGGGGCTGTCCACTGTCTGGGCTCCATCTCCTAAAGGCTGGCTTGATCACAGCCRCCCTAAAAATAGGCAGAGATCCCACGGGAGGAAGCTGACACATCCTGAAGTGACAGACGCGTGGAAGGCGTGGGCCGTGCCGAGGGGGTTACACAAGTTGGTGTTACAGAAAGATTTACAAAGTGAGAGGGAGAAGAAGAGGAGAAGCTGATTGCAGCCATATGGTTCAAGCCAATTGTCCTTCAAGATCCRTATTTCAGTGATGAGAAGGGACTCTGGTCAGGGATACAGAGGTGTCACCTCTTTCTGGAGCATCCCAAAGTGACAATGGCTCTCTCTAAGCTAAGGGTCCTTCCCCACCTCTCCTGGAACACTCCCTCCTCCTCCCAAATCAGCATGACAAAGCACTCAGTGCTGAAACATCTGCTCTGCTTGCAGCTCTGCTGAGCCTGCTTTGGAAGGAAATCTAATTACTCGCAATTCCTTCGTGCTGTTTCATCAGGGAGTGACTCCAGAGATAATCCAGTGGAAGGAGGGGATTGTCTGGCTCTGCTCTGCTCTGGGGTGGCCTCACCTCCAGTCCTGGGGGCAGTTTTGGGTGCCAGGACATAAGAAACACCCAAAGGAGGGACAAAAGAGAGACACGAAGATGGTGAAAGATGCAGGAGGACTGTGCCAGGGTTCAAGGAGCGTTTGGACAATGCTCCCAGGGATGCACAGGCGTGATTTTTTGGGCTGTTCAGGGACAGGAGCTGGACTGAATGATCCTGAGGGTCCCTTCCAGCCCAGGATATTCTGGGATACTCTAACACCAAGAGGATTCCTCCTCAATGAAGCTTCAACTTCTGCACTCAGCAGTTTCACAGCAATGGCAGGTCCTGGTGATCCTTCAAGATAAAAGCCTGCTCATCTCCATCACTCACCTATTTCACACTCACTGCATCTTTTTTTAGAAGCAAAGCAGTTTTCACACATATAAGAAGAAGAATGTCCTGACATGCATCTTTACATTTAGTCCCAAACACAGCTGCCTCTATTACATGCTGCAGATTTATTATCTTTCATTTAAATAGTCTTTTAGTGGTGTTTCTCTTCTAGACAAAAAAAAAAAAAATCATGTGCATTTTGGCTTTTTTTTCTTTTCACCTGCCCACATTTCACTCAAATAACCAAGGCACCTTTATGGATTTCTCTTTTATAAGACATATTCCATGATGTCCAAAACCTGAGCTTTTCTGTCTAAATACTGACACAATGAAATGGATTCCCTTCCTGAGACCACCCAACACAC